GGGATGGTGGTGGTAGCAAGGGAAAGGACTCCACTCCCGCTGGATGGGCATCAGAGGCACTCTGCTCTAGGTACAGAAGTAATGACAGGAAGGTTAAAGTCGAGTGTCTCTGCCCTAGTTATCACTCCAGTAGGATGCTAAATGTATCTAGAGTAAGCATGCTTGGGGAATTCAGATGGTGGGAGTGACTGTACAGAGGTGCTGTTTTCAAGTCCTTAAAGGTATACATTAAACCATCTGTTCCATATGTTACTGCCAGCGCAAGGACATGTGCCTCGGTGTAAGTTATTAAATGAACCTGTCTTTAGGTTAAACCACACTTTCTATTATGGGTCGACTCGATGGGAAGGTCATCATCCTGACAGCTGCTGCTCAGGGGATCGGCCGGGCAGCTGCCTTAGTAAGTCACCATCTCTTGTTTGTTCACTAACTGTTGAGGTATTGAATTATGTAGATAGATTCCATGGTTATTTAATTCTGCCCTACTTTTTTTTATTGACTTTTATGCTGCTGTCTAAAGTTACAAAAAGAAAAGTCACTGTTTCTGACCCCAGGCAGATGAAGGAATGAATATCTCACTTATTATTATGTGATGAAGGAATGATGAAGGCAGATGAAGGAATGAATATCTCACTTATTATTATTATTATAACCTTTGACTCTGAGAAACTTATTTCTCTGCCTCAGTTTCTTTGCTCCATAATAAATTTACTGCGGAGGCCCTACAGGAGTACATAGCTTTCTCAAATTATGTCAATTCAGATAAAAGACTCCAGAATTACAAGACTATCAGATTACCTACCCCTTCTAATTGATATCAACTTCTCATACATTATACCCCCCACCTGAGCTAATAATGCACTTTCAGAATAATGATGGGTATGGTTTGACATTTATGAAAACAGTAGTATACTCTTAGGAGGAAAAGTGTTGAAATAAGCCATTTTTCTCTTGCTATTTGGACTATAACAAGCAATGGTATATAATAAGAACTTGCTCAGAAATGTAATGTAAGCTATCAAATCACAGCAATATTTTGAGAAGTGTTAATAAAAGTAGCCTAGTTTTTTAAAAACACCATTTTATTTGGTATTACTTAAGAGGACAAAGTCAGATGACAAGCACAACATATGTCACATTGTTCTAATTAATGATAAAAATAATAACAATGGGAAGAATGAGGTGAGACTAGTTTGAAATTCCACCTATTTAATGTGACGGGAGTGGAGGCGGGGAGTGAAAATAAGATAAAGGGGAAAAGGCTAAATGACTTTCCACTTAGGAAAGCAGTTTAACCAAGTAAACAAAAGATTTATTTGTGCATTGTGTCTACCAGGCTTTTGCAAGAGAAGGCGCCAAAGTCATAGCCACAGATATCAATGAGCCCAGACTTCAGGAACTGGAAGAGTACCCGGGTAAGCAACTCAGCTGCTTGAACTTAAGACTCAGTTTACAGAGCAACAGGACTCACATGCCGAAAGAGAATTCCTTAGCTGCTCAGCTCCACTGGCCTATTTAGGGCCTGACTCTCTGATATCAAGTTTATATTCCATGAACCTACACACAAAAATCTGCATACTTCAGTGTAGAAACAAAATGTTAGCTGTACACTTAAAATTTTTAATGTATTTAACACGTTGAAGGTTTCGGTACCTTAAAACAAAATTATATGAACATTTAACAGTTCACTTTTTAGGACAACTTTTCGCTCCCAAGTCCTCCTCCTCTAAGGGCAGTGCTGTCCCATAGAAACACGACGTGAGCCCTATGTGTCGTTTCAAATTTTCTAGTGGCTACATTGAAAAAGTAAAATGAAACAGGTGAAGGTTCATTTAATAATATATTTAACTCAATACATCTAAAATATTATCATTTTAATTTAATCAAAAATATTAATGGAATATCTTACATTCTTTTTTTATACTAAACCTTTGAAATTCATGTGTCTTTTACACTTACAGCACATTTCAGTTCAGACTAGCTGCATTTCAAGTGTTCAGTAGCCACATCTTGCTAGTGGCTACCATGGAGGAGACACCTCAGTCCTAAAATCACATGTCATGGTCAGAAACCCAAAGAGATTACCCAAATTATTTAGGCATGTATCATCCTTACCATACCACACTGAACCCAACTCTAACATCAAAGAACTTCAATTAAAGTTTCTCTGAAAGAAATCAGAACAGAGAACTCATTTTAAAGTTAACTATCCCCACAAAACAGAACATGTTACAGGATCAAACACAGATCAATTCATTGATTTAGTTAACTGAATTAGACTATGTTGAATTATCATTCCAACAACTCTAAGTAAAGCCACTATACTGGAAAAGCCCAAAGGAAAAGGAGTCTTTGTGAAACTCAGCTTCAGTCTTCTCTTTCTTTGTTTATTCATGTTTTATCTCTATATCTAAAGAGAATAATGAAATAAATCATGTGTTTTAAAAACATGAAAATAATGACTGTATTAAAGGACATTTGGATTTTTGTTGTTGTTGTTTTTAGTAACTAGTATAGTGTGTATCTCTCGAGACTTCAAGTGTTTCATCCCTTCTTCTGGCCTCTCATTTCTTCTTGCACTTTAGGCCAGAAATAAGTAATGATGCCCTTGACCAATAAAGTCATTTCAATAAATGATAGAATTGACATACAAGTAAAGCTCACAAATAGAAACAATCTCTTTTCCCACCACCCTTGACCTTCCTCCTCAAACAGACAGAATTCAGAATGTTTGTAGCACTGACTCAACCTCTAGGGGAAAAAAGGAATGGGCTAAAATGGCCCACCTTCAGTTCTGACATTTGGCTTACTGAGAAGCATCTAATATAGATCATTCATACTGCACTATAAAGTCCTTACTCAGAAAAGACCTTTATTATTCAATTCGGAAAATGGGAGAAAGAGCGGAGGGAGAGAGCGGTGTGTAGTTGGGAGGTCCACACTGGGAGGACTTTTTTACTAATGAGAGTCTTAGCACCCTACTAGTGGTCAACAGTACTACGAACCCTAACCGGACAGACACTGCATCACTTCCGAACAGCTAAATCTTCAAGGCTCGACATTTTTTATACGTTTAGGTGAGTAGTGCCTTTTGTTTTCTTTTTCAGGTATTCAAACTCGGGTCCTTGATGTCACAAAGAAGAAACAAATTGATCAGTTTGCCCGTGAAGTTGAGAGAATTGATGTTCTCTTTAATGTTGCCGGGTAATTCAGAACTTTTTTGACTTCACTCTCCTTACAGAACATTTTCCGTGACTTATATTGGAAGAATTTTGATAGTATGGACAAATTATTCCTCATGAACCATAATATATTCCTTGGGAAATACGGCTGGATTCTGAATAGAATTTTTATTATCAGATAGCCAAAGAAGTTGACATGGGCTTGGGACATAAAGGCAATTAAGATCTACTCCAGACAGCTGATACTACTCCAAAGCAATTGCTCTTCTTAAGGCTGGTAACAGGCTCATGCCAATGGACTTGTCACTGATGTTCCAGTAGGACTTAGAAAATAAAATAAAAAGCAGATTTCCAGTAGAATATCTTTCAAACGAAGCATATTTCCTAGAAGCCAAGTACATATTGAAATGCGTATGTTTCCAATTTTTTTGGCACAATAGTCTAGCAAGTCATTTATACCTCCCAAGCTCAGTATTTCTTATTGGGAAAATAAATCTCAGCCCAAAGAGAAAGGCTGAATTAAACTTTTTAGGGTAGTTCCAGCCTTGCTGAACCACGTGTGAATGATGAGAAACTGGAAGTAGAGCAGCTCCATGTAAATACAGCGGCTGCTAGGACATTCCCTTCTCAGGCACAAGAGCAGAGCTAAGCACAGCTGAGGCTTACACAGGAGTGAAGTCGATACATTCTGAAGTTCTGCTTTTCTTACAGTTAGCGTTACACTGGTACTGCTGCAGTAATAGAAAAATCCTAGCGCCTTCTAATAGATTTTTCTGGCACTTCCTAATCATGTGTCAGAGCGGAAAAAAAAAAATCTGTCCATAGTTTATCAGGTATTACAATGTATGAAAATTAAATTAAAGCAAAAAATTTGTGACTATCTATTTTATAACTTGCTCATCCCTCATATGAGAATATACCCAGAGCCATGAAAAAAAGAAATTAACTAGCAAAATTAGTTTTCGAGCATCTATTAAATTTTCAGCTAAGTAAAGGATATAGAAACAGAGCATATGGTTCTTGCCGTCATTCATTTCAACTGGAAGTACAGTCACAACCAACAATATTTTATCATTAATTACATAATTTTGGTCCAAGGGACAGTGAAATCAATTAGGACACCAGTTCCTATAAGGCTTCCTGGAGGAAGTGTGACCTGAAAAAAATCAAAGCTTATTTTAAGTGTTTTGTTTTGTTCTGCTTTGTTTATTCAGTATGTTAGAGCTGTACAGTAGCACTATTACTTCGCTACCCTGAGATGTTTGTTTTCCTCGCATTCCCTTATGAATGTTTAATCTGTGCCACCCGAGGGCACTGTTGCTCTTGCAATAGGAGTCAGGGCAGGTGTCATCATTTATTTGTTTTTGATGTTTCCTGTGCTGTTAATATACAGCTTCTTATGTTTGGTGGCACAGAACTCTTGCCTTCTTCTTTTAAAAAAAAGGAATTTGTGTTCAAATAAATTTTTTTATTTAGGTTATTGGGATAGTTACTAATGTAATGTACTGATACTATGTTTGAATTATTAAAAATCTTGGTAAGGGAAGAGACAATGATCTAAGTCAATCGATGTCAATACAATGATATGGAAGTGGAATGGAAATCTTTTTACATATTTCTTCCCCTAATTGTTTAATCACTGTTCCAGTTTTGTCCATCACGGAACCATCTTGGACTGTGAAGAGAAAGACTGGGACTTCTCAATGAATCTCAACGTCCGCAGCATGTACCTGATGATCAAGGCATTTCTTCCTAAAGTAAGGTGACCACCACCTCTGGGATAAGCATCACTGCATAAGCAGGTCTCCTTACTGGGCATCTAGAAAGGATCCCCACATATGCTGAGGAATAAAAATAATTAACATAATGACTAACCTGTATTGAAAATTTATAGCAAGAAATTTAATATAAGTTAACTCATCGAACCTTCCAGTTCATCCATTCAAGGAATATTAAGCACTTTCTATATACCAGGCTTTATTCTACGTTCAGAAGACACTAAACAAAGTCCTTATGTAAGGGAGGACACACTTGTAAGGGGTGAGACAGGATAATAGTTAACAAAATAAACATATATTATGTTGGGTGCTTATAAGTGCTATGAAGAAAAGAAGCTAGGATATCAGTGAAGTCCAGGAGAGTCTTATCGATAAGGAAAAATTTTGATAGAGGTCTGAATGAAGTTGGGGAGCTAATCATTCAGGTATCTGGGGAGAGAGTTCCAGGAAGAAGGACAGCAAGGAGGCACATGGGACCAGAACAATCCAATGAGGTATGTACCACTTTATCACATCCATGATACAGAGGATGAAGCTGGGAGGCTACATAATTAGCAAGTAGTTAGAGCCAGGATTCAAACCCCGAAGTTGGGCCCCTTCTTGAATTTCAGTGTCTAGGCACACACCCTCAAGATGGACATACCCGATTGCTTCTCTGTACCCTGAGTATTCTGTACTCTGTACCCTGAGTATTCTGCTTACACTCCTGTTTTTAGCTGAGCTGCAAAGGTACCAGAGAGATGGGAGACAGTCTGTGCTAAAGAGTTTTCCTCCCGAGTCTGCTGCCCTTGAATTCTCCAGTCTTCACACAACTTGTGAATGTTTTTTATTTTATTTTACAAATGAGCATTAAGAAACTTTTCATAGAAAGTACCACACTAGGTGCTCTGGGGGAGGTAGGTATAAATATGAAAAACACTGACTTCAAATGAGTTTATAAGCACAGGCTCAGACAGCACAGGCTCAGACAATGAAAGGGGTCGACAGTACAGAACCAGCTCAGTTCAGGATTGTAAACTGAACCCTAGTGAAATGCAGAAGAGTCGTTTTTCTCTGTCATCCCAGCTGGATTAGGTGACTGACATCCTGAATGCTGCCCAACCTAGGGGAGGAGAAGAGCTTTTTAATGCAACTCAGGGCTAACACTTTGCTCCAAACATTCAACCTTATGTCAAGAAGGATTCAGATGAACGTTAGAAGGAAAATAAGAAGAATTGACTTAGTAACAAAATAATTTTTTTGAATCTACTCGTTTAGTGCCTAGAGGGAATCTTGGGTGGGTTCATGGAATGTTCAACTGGCAAATCTTTTTAAATGTATAAACTGCTTCTTTTGCTTATTTGAAGTTCATGAGAATCTGTTATTTGGATCTCGAATCCATTTTTTGAAGAATGATCCTTAGCGTAGGATATGGGAGAGAATCAGAGGCTGCGATAAAACAAGAAAGTTTAAGTTATGGTGGGTAAGACTTTGCACTTGTATGGGACTCATTCGTAAAACCAGCCTATTTCATGTCCGGAGAGCTTTATATATATCAGTGAAGGAAGCAGGTGTGGGGTACAGTGGAGCTGAAATTTAAACTTATAAGAAAGTGTTAAGTTTTAAAATGTCAAACACTAACTTATAAATTAGTGAGTTTGCCTATGATTTAAAGCATCTTAATGATAATCAATATGAGCCAATAACACTCATCTGTAAAAAAAAAAAAAAATCCTGAGCAGTATTGACTGCTCAGTATTAAGTGCCACTTGTTAAAGCGACTCTAACCAATCTGACCCTGGCCTCGGAAGACTTTAGGCACGGCCTGAGCTCTGCCCCTGATTCGCCACGTGACCTGGGAGAGGGCCCCTGCACCCTCTCGGCATCTATTCCTTCTGTTTAAAATTAGGGTGATAGATTATACAATTCCTTCTGGCCCTGATTGTCTGGGATACTCTGTGTCCATTAACCATGATGCACATATTCCAGGTTAGAACTTTCCAAGGGAAGCCAGGATTTGGAGTCTAGGCAGATCTGAAAGGTCAGGTGGTCAAAACACAGGCGCACTTGTGGGAAATTTTTATTCATGGATAGAAAGACAGAAAATTATTCCAAAACTGGAAGATCCATCAAAAGGCAGAGAACAAGTTGAAAATACTGTAAGAAGAGGTCGATGCAGAATCCAAGGTCCACTGTGGAATGGAAGAGGCGATGCATTATGGCAAGAATTGGGGCGGAGGGGGCATCATGGATGTGTGGTGAGGGGTATTCCCCTTTGCTGTGTCATAGAAGACCCCCAAGAGTATAGAGGTGCTTAGCAAACATTCATTGAATGAAAAAATGAAGCTAGGTTGTCAATCTAGTTGGAGGTCAGGGATGGAATCCCTGAAGACCCAGAAGGCAAGGTCTACCAGGTTTCGGAGCTGAGCTCTGGTCAGTGGGGCCAGAGGGCTGGGTGGGAGTAGGACTGACTAGACAGAGCTTGGGGGGAATCGTTAGAGGTCTTTCTAGCCTTCCACCCCGCGACTTGAGTTTCTGCGACATCAATCCTATATAGCATCACTATGTACCAGGC